TGCAACCCGGCGATGCAAAAAAGAGCTGAAACATTCGTCGTGTGTGGTGCGGTGCTTTGTATTCCGGGTCTGTTTGAACCACGCTTTTAACACGGAGCGCAAATTGTTTGTTGCGTGGTGGAGGTTCAACGGGTACAGTCCCGTCGTCGTCAGCTGATCCGGTCCAGCTGGTCCGGGAGGACGCAGCGAGCGTTTTTAAAAGTAAATCTTCCCTCGTTCCGTTTCAAACTGTGGAAGTATCCCGACACATACCGTGAGTAAGAAGCAGCGGGCGTTTTCAACAAAATTACGTTGTTTTAATTGAATAATGGACTCCGGATTGTTGTCTTAAATCTTCCGTTTTTTATGCTTCGTGTTGGACTGCGTTTGCATAGCGACGCACACCGCTCGAGTATGATTCGGTCCTGCAACGAGTTTGTTGCGGCAATCATGCGGCGTGAATAAATAAGGGCAAGGTTTCCTACCTGCCCACAGATGCATGTACTGAGACCATTTTTTATGTTGTGAACGTAGTGCTCTTTCTTTATTTTGAAAGACGCGTTGGTGCATTTATTATGGTACAATCACTTGAGAGTTGAGAAATTAGAGAGCGAGCAAGCTTTCTCAACTTTGTCTCTCTCTCTGGCACTGCCCTGTTTCAGTTTCAGTAGGCATATCTACTAGCAGGTACAAACTGCTCTAAAGCAGATAAAAAACGGGAAGCTTAGGACGGTGCTGACTCCGTGTTTCGCGCTTTTCGCAAGGTGACAGGGTAAATGCTTTTGTGAGATATGCGGAATATGCAAGCGATTTGTTATGCCCGTCGTTTGCGTCTCTCCAGAAAACGAATAATATGATCTACTACAAAGGCGCAATCACAAGCCAAGATTTAAGATAGCAGGGTGTGTTCAGATAAGATCGAACACGCGAGTCCGGTTCGCATTTTTGTTTTTCTTCATATTTTTATATGTTACTCCCCAATATGTGGAAGGAACGAAATCACAAATGTTTAAAAACAAAACAAATATATCTAAAGAAAAAAAAAACATGACTGCCCCAAGACGGAAACGCCGTTTTCGGGCTTTGTCTGTTCTGTCAAGTTTGACTTCATGTAATAGGCAAACTAAATATACCAAAAAACTGAATATTTTTCAGAAAGCAGGGGATTATAGTTACTACATTTTTTAACGTTTACAGTATTCTCAAAATTATATATCGCGCGTGCCAAATTCACAGATGTGGCTGCTTTAACGTTTTGACCCCATTTTTGTGACTCGTTATGTCGTTATATGTTAAGGATATTAAACTGAAACTTTTTTTATATGTCCTTCCTAAACTTGTCCTTTACCAAAAAATAAATTGCTGCTCTAGTGTGTGATGCAAAATATATACAGCGCTTCAAACATATTCGAAATTGAAAAGTTCCGCAACTTCAACGTGCAATTAAAAAAAAAAGCCATCTTCGATCTTTTTAAAATTTGGAGGAATCACTCTCCTCTACATCCTCATTAAGTTCCGTTAAAAACATGTTGCATCATTTTGTTTCCGTCAAAAGTACAGCGCTTTGAAATGTACCTCCCCACGTGGACATGTTCGCCCAAGGTCACGGCCGCAGTGTGGCCGCCTTCCATTTTTTTGTTTAGAACTTCTCATAAGGTCCTGTTTTTTTACTTGTGCACGAGTTCGAATCATACATGTGGACCGCTCTAAATGCATGTATAAAGTACACGTAGCTCAGGACAGCAGCCCGAAGCATCGAAGATGCGAACTAAGACGAGCCCGCCCTTCGTGCTTAATTGTTGCATATGCCGCTGCACGGTCGCGCGAACTGAAACACAACCACCCGCACGAGACTCTAGGGTCGATAGAAAGAAAGCACATAGAAAACCGGCCGTGTATTACGTGCGCGTTCGCCGTGTATAGCGAACACGACCTTTTGAGCCCAAACAACGGCGGATGCAACCGGAGACGCCGGGAGGGAACAGCCGGACGGCGAGCCACGGGACGCCTGGAAGCAACAGACTGGGCGCGATCGCAGGCCATAACAGACGCTTTCGTAACACCAAACAATTGTAACCTAAACATTTATATTGATACATCCTCGCACTATCCCAAATTAACCGGCACGTCACATAACTAAGAAGCTCCCAACCTTAAACACACAAAAAGGAGGAGTAGGAATATAATATAGACTTCATTATGGCGAACCTTAAAGGGGTTATGACACGCCAAAAATAAAATATTACATAACTATACTGCTAGGACCCATTGTATGTTCCTATAATCCTGCTAAATTTGTTTTGAAAAAGGCGCGATAGTTTCGTGGATAAATCGATTTATATGCGGGCCCCTCGGAGGGGCAGATCCGGGCGGACCTGGAGGCTGATGACGTAGCCAGCCTCCAGCGCGGTGTCTCCTTGCACGCACTCACAGACTTGGCTCTCTTGGCGTATCGAGCCTCAGCTTCCTCGTTTACCTTCCACGTTTCCAGCACCCGGTCTGTGACGATTACGTCTACGGCATCGATCGCCTTGTCGAAGTGTTCGACATTGATCGCAGCAGCGATGAGAGTGATTGCTATCAAGAGATGTTGGAAGCTGTTCATTCTGACTGCGACCCGCTGGCGACGAGTTCCAGCGACGACGAGTTCGCCGTGGTCACCGTCGTCCGGGAATGTCTCGCAGGCGCAGGCAGGCTGGAAGGTCAACCGGCCGGGGGGCGAGAGCGAGAATAGCTTTCCGTTTACCGAGCTGTTTGAGCGGTTTTGTTCGTACCGCGACGAGAAAAGCTTGGGCGATCATGGGGGCGCCTAGAATGAGAGAGTGTTCATGGTCACGTGGTTTATGGACACCATGGTGTGACTAAGTTGAGCAGTGTTGCCTGGTCGCCAGATGAAAATTATAAAAATTCGTAAATTGAATATTGCAATTATCAGAGCTCTAAAAATTGCGTAACTTGGTGTATATACTAAGTAGCCTATGAGCATTCCATTTCAAGAATAATCTATCCGTTTAATTTTCGTGTCATAACCGCTTTAACTGCGAAAGAACAAAACTATAGCCAAAAACGAACTCGAACGGAAGGAGACATAAATAAATAAAGGGAAGGGGGGGGGGGGGAGGAAGGTTTTTGGCAAGGTCGGGGATAAGTAAGTACAAGACGAGCGTGTTGGTAACAGTATGTACCAACACGCTCGTCTTGAGGAAGTATGTACATAGAAGGGGGGACGGACGGATAGCGGCACAAACTTTAAGGCTTTGAGATTACTTGGTGGCGCATTTTTGGCTCAGCGGGCGGGCTTCCACATGTGTTTTCGAGGTTTGTGTTTACGTCGGCAACTGTAAAAGGAGGGGGGTGGGGACGGGAAGGGGGTATATCTGAGTGGTGTGCTTGTGCACGATTCGACGGCGGGGGGGCAAGGAAGCGTTGCGAGGAAGTGGGGGATTAGCAGTGGTGGCGGTGCCGGGTGACAAGTCAACAGCGTGGACATTCTCATGGACGCTGTGGCGCCTAGCGTGTGTGCATGTATGTTTGTGCGAGGAGTGCTGCTGACGTGTACTGGGCGGGAGGAAGCGGCTTGACCTTCGGGACTCTGGATGTCGGTTGGGGCACCGTGGGGGCTCGCCTTTTTTAAACGAGTGTCTGACAAATAAACCTTCAGCTGTGTTTGAGACGTTGTGTTCTGTTCGTCCCTTTGTGTGTTCCTGAGTCTCGGGTTTTATCACCATCTGTCGCGCGGCATCAAATAGCAAGTCAAAGTAAACGTGCGCCGCTCTACACTTCACGTGTTTACGCTTGCGTGTCTTGGTCGGACTGCGCACGCACGCACTCATTTCACACCTCGTGACTTCAATACCAATAAAGTATGAACCATTCTCTCTCTCTTTCTTTTTTTCGGCGTCGGGCACAAGGGAGCGAGTCCAGTATCTGCGTGGCATATGCTTTGCTAATACACGCCTTGTCAGAGCGGAGTCCTCAGCTATGGCAGGGACTTACAGCGCCAGCAGAGTTTTTTGTGCTGACTATCTCAGCAAACACAAAAAGAAAGTCACAATGCAGAGAAATTTTCGCAGCGTGCGAGATATCGGTGTTAACTCCTTGAAGAAGATTTTGCCCCAGGAGACATCCGGTGAAGTGAAAGAAACAGATTACCTGTGCCAGCATTATTTCCTGTACTTCAAAGCTGAAATACAAAGTGCATCAGAGAGCTCCGACAGTGGTGGGGATGCATTTATCCCAGAAAGTGAGGCCGTTGACAAGCTGAATCGCTACGTACTGCCCACAAAAGTTTCACCGCTCAAGCCACCAGGTCAAGTAGCAAGCCGCTGCAGAGAGTCCTATGGGAAGAGGAATCAAGCGGAAATAGAAGAGGCCGTGGTTTCCGATGTTCGTACGGGGATTCAAACAGCCTACGGGACATCAGACGTTTCAGGACCGTCCCAAGATAAGTGCAACACGTGCAGCGAGTGGATGACCAACTTTCGCCTGGCATACGCTGCGTGTCCTTCCCACCAGGAACGCTGCCGTCTACTGACGCTCCTTCCCCCATCCCTGACGAGGAAAGAGATCGAACGTGCCGTGCCGGAGGCAACGAGGTACCTCATCAACAAATCTCGCAAACTGAGAGATGACTACGGTGTGTGGTCGACACCGGAACACTACTCGAGATGCAAGGTGAGCGAAGAGGAATTGTCGGTGGCGCTTGAGTACTTTACTAAGGACGAACTGGGCTGCTCAAGACAAAGCCCAAACCAGAGAGATGTCATTTGTGTCTTACTAAATGACAAAAAACAGTACATCTCCAAGCGCTTTATGACGAGGTCAATCCGCGAGTCATTTCGTGTGTTTAAAAATGCACACCCCGAAACCAAGATTGGCCTCACAAAGTTTCATTCCTTGCGACCCCGGTGGGTCAAGTGTGCCCCCCAGAGAGAAGTTTGTGTATGCATATATTGCGCAAATTTTAAGCTTTGCGTTGCGGCTCTTGGAAGCGTAAGCGGTAGGGACGTCAACATATTGGACTTGGAATTATTGTACATGTGCTCCCCGCCAACCAATGAATGCCGGCTTGGCGATTGTGGACGATGCCCCAAGGACAGCCATTTTACGCTCGAGCGGCTTGGAATCCCAGAAGAAGCAGAAATTTTGGTAGCTGCCTGGGAGTCCGGCAACCTGATAAAAAAATCTTTGGATTCAATGACATTCATGAACGAACTTCAGACACTGGTAGGAAGATGGATTCCTCATAATCAGATCAGGTCAATTCAAGGAAAGGCCATATACACAGAAAAACTGTGCGAAGAAAAGGGAAGCCTCGTGCTGCATTTTGATTTTGCGGAGAATTGGACCGTTGTTCTTCCCGATGAGGTCCAAGCCTACCACTGGCATAAGAAGCAAGTTTCGGTTTTTACATGCGTTGCTACAACAAGAAAATCCACGCGTAGCTTCGCTGTCATCAGCGACGATGTGTGCCACGACTCCGCCCACGCCTGCTGCGCAATCGGAAAGATAACAGACTGGCTTGATGACAACGCTCCCGTGCACTCGCAAGTGACTTTTGTAAGCGATGGAGCAGCGAGCCACTTCAAGAACAAGTATCAGCTACACGAGTTTAGAAAATTAGAGTACCCTGCAGCCAAATGGCTATTTTCCGCCACTGGGCACGGCAAAAATGCATGCGATGGCGTTGGAGGGCTTGTGAAGCATCAGGCTACTCTAGACAACCTGCGACAGCCGGCAAGCATGGCAATCCAAAATGGACAAGACATGTCAAGAATACTGTCTCAGCATCTCAAAGGGGTCAAGCTGCTCTACTTGGATGAAACTGAACTTGTAGAGTTCCGGAACCGGAAGAAGGAAGAGTGGAGCAATGTGCGAGCCGTCCGTGGAATTCAGAAGTGGCACGTATGGCGAAGTCGCAGAACGGGGCAGAACTCGGAACTAACTGTTTTCCGGACCGCGGAAAGCGCAACGACGATCACTATTTCATAACCGCTGCTTGAACATGTTGAGTGTCTATGCATTTTTATTTATTTTACAACAATGACAGACGACGCATCAAGAGACAGCCGGAACGAGTGGACAAGCCAAGGTGTCAGCGATTTATTAAAACAGTCGCATAAAGATGTAGTAAAAGCGCTGATCCTCAATCCCACCGAGGTGTTATGTTCAGTTCTTAGGTTTACTTCGCGAACCCAGGTGTTGTATATCGTTTCGTTCTAGGCATTTACGTTCGCGCGACCGAGTGGTCGCGTGACCCGGCGTCTCCGGTTGCATCCAACGTTGTTTGGGCTCAATAGGTCGTGTTCGCTATACAAGGCGAACACGGACGTAATACGCGGCAGGTTATATATGTTCTTCCTTTCTATCGACACTAGTGTCTCGTGCGGATGGTTGTGTTTCAGTTCGCGCGACCGTGCAGCGGCATATGCAACAATTAAGCGCGAAGGGCGGGCTCGTCTTAGTTCGCATCTTCGATGCTTCGAACTGCTGTCCTGAGCTACGTGTACTTTATACATGCATTTAGAGCGGTCCACATGTATGATTCGAACTCGTGCACAAGTAAAAAAACAGGACATTATGAGAAGTTCTAAACAAAAAAATGGAAGGCGGCCACACTGCGGCCGTGACCTTGGGCGGACATGTCCACGTGTGGAGGTACATTTCAAAGCGCTGTACTTTTGACGGAAACAAAATGATGCAACATGTTTTTAACGGAACTTAATGAGGATGTAGAGGAGAGTGATTCCTCCAAATTTTAAAAAGATCGAAGATGTTTTTTTTTTTTTTTAATTGCACGTTGAAGTTGCGGAACTTTTCAATTTCGAATATGTTTGAAGCGCTGTATATATTTTGCATCATACACTAGAGCAGCAATTTATTTTTTGGTAAAGGACAAGTTTAGGAAGGACATATAAAAAAAGTTTCAGTTTAATACCCTTAACATATAACGACATAACGAGTCACAAAAATGGGGTCAAAACGTTAAAGCAGCCACATTTGTGAATATTGCACGCGCGATATATAATTTTGAGAATACTGTAAACGTTCAAAAATGTATCAACTATAATCCCCTGCTTTCTGAAAAATATTCAGTTTTTTGGTATATTTAGTTTGCCTATTACATGAAGTCAAACTTGACAGAACAGACAAAGCCCGAAAACGGCGTTTCCGTCTTGGGGCAGTCATGTTTTTTTTTCTTTAGATATATATATATTTTTTTTTTTAAACATTTGTGATTTCGTTCCTTCCACATATTGGGGAGTAACATATAAAAATATGAAGAAAAACAAAAATGCGAACCGGACTCGCGTGTTCGATCTTATCTGAACACACCCTATGGTAAGGTGACGAATGAACCCAAACTTAACGTTTAATCTGGGGAACTTTCCCGACAACAAAAATGCAAAGAGGTATCGTCGAAGGCGTCGAAGCTCGGCAGAGCAGCACGATCGAGCGCCAGAGCGAGACTAATCCTGGATCACCACGCGGTGCACCTTTTGTACACGCGTGGGTTTCTGGAACATTTGGCGTAGAGCGTTCGGTGCGTAGAGAATTCGTACCTCGATCAGAAGACAAGGTTCGGGAACTTAGGATATCGCTAAATTGAAAGAATAAATGAAAGAAGCGAGCATTTTCACGAATGCAACCTGGGGCCTCCGAGCGAAAGCCAAGCAGGGTAACCATTCGGCCACGCACGCGCTCACTGGGCGACGTGCGTGGTGATATGTCCAAGGCAGTGAACAGAGAGGGAGGTACGGAAGAGGACGTACTAAGCCTAAATTGAGAGCGGGAAGTGTTGTACTACACTCGGCCGAGTTTTTGAGCTACTTAATCCAGAGGTATCATCTGAATGCGGATGGCTTCCTGATTCCGAAATGCTACACCGCTCCTTTAGTTTAAATCTATAGTAAATTAAAAAAAAAAAAAAAAAAGAAAACTGACATTTTGTTTGTTGCCAACGCCAATACATCCTTCTTCCGAGTTTTTCCCCAGTTATTCCCGCCATCCCAAACGTGACGTCACCAGAGGTCTCCGAAGCGTGCGGACGGCGATCGGGTTCGCTCATGCCCGCTTTTCTCGCATCAAACAGCGAGAAAGCAGGGGTGTTCGTGCCATCCGAAGTTGATAATAATCTGTAGTTGGGCAAAGTATGACTTTGGCCTACGTGCTAAAGTACGAAAAGTAACCCCCCCCCCCCCCCCCCCCCTCGCACAAAAAAAAAAAAAAGAACGGAAAGAATGAACTAATTTTTCCAGCCAGTTTGACTACGCTATCGGAAGGTGCGACAACCCCGCTGGAGCTCTGACAATGTGGAGCACGAGACGGAACGAGCCCTCGCATGCAGGGCCGTCTGCCTCCTGTGAACTAAAGTTATGGCGGCGTCACGCGAAGAGACGAAAGACGCTAGGGTCATAGCAAAATTAAATGAAGGCTTCCCCAAAATCCTTGAAGTACTCACTCGCAAGAGAGGAACCCGTCCTGCCTTCATCATCTACAAAGGACAGCGACTTGCTGTTCCCGCTGCACTGCGCGACCAGATCAAGAAGAAACTTCATGCTGGCAGATGGACATGAAAAGCACACTTCGAAGAGCACGAGAGTCTGTATTCAGACCGTAGATGAACTCGGAAATGAGAGAATACACACTGTAGGGGAGGTATGCCAAACTCACTCTCACAGACATCAAAAGGAAACTATGAAGGCACACTCAATGACAAGCCAACCATGGGAGAAAGTGTGTGCAGACCTTATGGAATGCAAAGGAAAAACATTTCTTGTGATCGTGGACCACAACAGCGGATTCTTTCAAGCTAACCAACTACGATTGACTACATCAGCCGCGCTCATTCGGAAAATCAAAGCGAACTTAGCAAGACATGGCCGTCCATCAGCTGATGTCAGCGACAACGGTCCGTTATTTTCGAGTGACGAGGTTGTGAAGTTTACAAGAGAATGGGGTTTCGAACACGTGACATCAAGCCCAGACCATACGCAGTCCAACTGCAAGGCTGAAAGTACAATGAAGAAAACAGCGAAGATACTACAGCAAGCAATGATGGATGGAAGTGACCCGTACACAGCACTACACAAGAACTCCATGTCAGCCCTGTGCAGCCACTGATATCGGAAAAAGAACCCGAAGCATTCTCCCTACCACGACCATGCGGCTACGCCTACAAATACTACAAGCGTCAAAGACAAGTATTGAGGAAGAAAATGGTAAACAACTACAATGAAAAGGAGAAAGTTCTACCTCCACTACACCAAGGAGACTATGTGCGAGTCCAACCTACAGGAAAATGCACATGCGACAAAACGTAGTCGTGCAGAGGGCAAAGAAGAGGTCGTGTGATGTTAAAAGGAATTGAAATGTGCTTCGGCGAAATATAGCCTTCACGCGGAAGTGCAATTCTAAAATGGAGTGGTTACGAAGAAACCGAGGTGGACAACGAACAGGCCGAAAGCCATTACTAAGACGAAGGTCCAGCAGGAGACAGCTGTGTCGGCAAAATGTCCTGCGAAGGCAATAGCAAAGGGTCTAAGCAGCCTAAATATTCGACGAGTTCGTGAAAGCCGAGTACCAAACTACCTGAAGGGCTATGTACCTTAAGAAACGTAAAATCCCACAATGCCAATATAAAGGGGATGTTACATTACGCTATTGTGGGTGTTTGAGTTGGCTCCCGCGCTGCCGGTTGCGGCAGCGCGGTTAACAAAGCCCCCGCAATAAACATGGCTGTCAAGCACACATGTGGTCACTTGGCAGAGTAGAAAAACAATGAGGAAGTTGCTCAGCTTAAAAATATCCGGCGTCTTGCATTGATATGCACCGCTTGAACTGTGGGAGCCGCTGGCAGAACACCTGCGAGAGATTTGCGGAACGCAGCTTTAGAGCCCGTCCCTTCTATGCAAACAAAATAACAGTTGACAAAAGTTGATTTTTGTTATTTTAAAATTGTTTCTTTTGGAAGTACAATAAGAGTCTATGTAACGAGAACACAATGGAAGCGAGAAAGTTTTGCAGCAAACAACGTGCAATATCTTTAGTATCTTATGCGAGCGAGCGAACAATCAGCGAGGTAAATTACAAAGAGTTTACATTGCAGATGCGAAAACAGGTGCTGCGCTTCTACTGAAGAACAGCGCATTTTGCTCGGACAAAGTGTTTTGGTATATTGAGAACATTCCTTTCAAGATCAAATAAGACAAACCAAGAAAGAGACAATGCACGCAACAAGGTCATACGGGTCACTGCATTTACGTCAATGCTTACGACACGTCATGCTTGCCAGCTACTGCTCGAGGTTTTTTCACCGCAGTTGTTTTTGCAATAATCATTGCTCATGTTTTTGGCGCTTCACTTGAGAGTTTAAACGATGACTGTAGCACTGGGTTGAAAAAACGTGAACATTCAATTTTACTAATATTAAACTTCCTGCTGAACCGCCTCCAATAAAGTACATGCGAAAAAATCTAAATGGCCACTACTGCAAACTCCACGTAGAGTTCGGTCACTTTTTGTTTCAGGGGCTCTACCTTAACTCGCAAAAGGTGGAGAACTCAAACCAATGGTTTGCACGAAAAGCATAGGAATGAATCATTAAATAGACCCTGTGCTTAACGGTCTTACAACAGTTTAACACACAAAATGAAATGAGACATTGGACGAGAGAACTCAAGGGTCGAGTTGTTAGCTCTTTGCATAACTCTACATAAAACAAAAACAAAATTGTCGAAATAATACAGATGATCTGTGACTTGGCTAGCAACACAGGCTTTAGTCTGGTTCGTGCGCTAAGCGCGTTGAATGTTTTCTCAAGTCGCCACAAAACGGGGATGGAGCGGAACGTACAGAGAAACGGGAAGAGACGGGGGGGGGGGGGGGGGGGGGGGGGGGGGGTCAGCTGAGCAAAATAAAGGAGGAAACACTGTCATCCACTCATAGTGATGTGCAACTATTTTCTTTGATACAGGCACACGTAACGTTAGATTTCTCGAGCCCTTTCTTAGTAAGATTTGCGGTGCTCAATATTGCTCGCCAAGATGCGCACATTCAGAATAATACTAAACTGAAAGTCGTAAAACATTAT